GACATTTTCAAAAAATCATATCGGCTGTATTTATAAGAAATATGATATGATCTGCATGTTAAATTGTAGCTTAATGATTCTAGTTTATGATATGATACAAAAATTATATGATAATATCATTAAAATTTCCAGGGAAAAGTTATTAAAGGAGAAATTGTCAAATTTATAAATCAAAAATAATCGGAAATTTTCAGAAATTCATATCTACTGTATTTTTACGAATCATGATATGATATGTATGTTAAATTGTAGCTTAATGATTCTAGTTTATGATATGATACAAAAACTATAAGACAATATTATTAAAATTTCCAGAGAAAAGTTATTAAAGGCGAAATTGTCAAATTTATAAATCAAAAATAATACGAAATTTTCAGAAAATCATATCTACTGTATTTTTAAGACTAATTATATGATATGTGTGCTAAATTGTAGCTTAAAGTTTTTAGTTTATGATATGATATAAAAACTATAAGGTAATGTTATTAAAATACCCAGAAAAAAATTATTAAAGGTAAAATTGCCAAAATTATAAATCAAAAATAACAGGAAATTTTCAGCAACTCATATCTACTGTATTTTTAAGAATCATGATATGATATGTATGTTAAATTGTAGCTTACAGTTTCTAATTTATGATATGATATAAAAACTATAAGGTAATGTTATTGAAATATCCAAGAAAAAATTATTAAAGAAGAAATTGACAAAATTATAAATCAAAAATAACAAGAAATTTTCAGCAACTCATATCTACTGTATTTTTAAAAATCATGATATGATATGTATGTTAAATTGTAGCTTAAAGATTGTAGTTTATGATATGATACAAAAACTATATGATGATGTTATTAAAATTTCCAGAGAAAAGTTATTAAAGGAGAAATGGTCAAATTTATAAATCAAAAATGATACGAAATTTTCAAAAAATCATATCGACTGTATTTTTAAGAATCATGACATGATATGTATGTTAAATTATAGCTTAAAGATTCTAGTTTATGATATGATATAAAAACTATAAGATAATGTTATTGAAATTTCCGGGAAAAGATTATTAAAGAAGACATTGTCAAATTTATAAATCAAAAGTAATACGAAATTTTCAAAAAATCATAACGACTGTAGTTTTAAGAATTATGATGTGATGTTATATTAAATTACAGCTTAAAGATTTTCAAAACATCATATCAACCGTATTGTTAAGAATCATGATATGATATGTATGTTAAATTGTAGCTTAAAGTTTCTAGTTCATGATATGATATAAAAATTATATGATAATATTATTAAAATTTCTAGAAATAAGTTTTTTAAGGAGAAATTGTTAAATTTATAAATAGAAATAACACAAAATTTTCACAACATCATATCAACCGTATTTTTAAGAATAATTATATGATATGTGTGTTAAATTGTAGCTTCAAGATTTTAGTTTATGATATGATGTAAAAACTATATGATAATATTATTAAAATTTCCAGGGAAAAGTTGTTAAAGGAGATATTGTCAAATTCATAAATCAAAAATAATACGAAGTTTTCAAAAAATCATATTAACTGTATTTTTAAGAATCATGATATGATATGTATGCTAAATTGTAGCTTAATAATTGTAGTTTATGATATGATATAAAAACTATAAGATAATATGATTGAAATTTCCGGGAAAAGATTATTAAAGAAGACATTGTCAAATTTAAAAATCAAAAATAATACGTAATTTTCAAAAATTCATAACGACTGTAGTTTTAAGAATTATTTTGTGATATAAATATTAAAATGCAGCTTAAAGATTGTATTTTATGATATGATATAAAAATTATATGGTAATATTATTGAAATTTCTAGGAAAAAGGAAATTGGCAAATTTATAAATCATAATTAATATGAAATCTTCAAAAAATCATATCGACTGTATTTTTAAGAATCATAATATGATATATATGTTAAAGTGAAGCCTAAATATTCTAGTTTATGATATGATATAAAAACTATAAGATAATATTATTGAAATTTCCGGGAAAGGATTGTTAAAGAAGACATTGTCAAATTTATAAATCAAAAATAATACGAAATTTTCAAAAAATCATAACGACTGTAGTTTTAAGAATTATTTTGTGATATAAATATTAAAATGCAGCTTAAAGATTGTATTTTATGATATGATATAAAAATTATATGGTAATATTATTGACATTTCTAGGAAAAAGGAAATTGGCAAATTTATAAATCATAATTAATATGAAATCTTCAAAAAAATCATATCGACTGTATTTTTAAGAATCATAATATGATATATATGTTAAAGTGAAGCCTAAATATTCTAGTTTATGATATGATATAAAAACTATAAGATAATATTATTGAAATTTCCGGGAAAAGATTATTAAAGAAGACATTGTCAAATTTATAAATCAAAAATAATACGAAATTTTCAAAAAATCATAACGACTGTAGTTTTAAGAATTATTTTGTGATATAAATATTAAAATGCAGCTTAAAGATTGTATTTTATGATATGATATAAAAATTATATGGTAATATTATTGAAATTTCTAGGAAAAAGGAAATTGGCAAATTTATAAATCATAATTAATATGAAATCTTCAAAAAATCATATCGACTGTATTTTTAAGAATCATAATATGATATATATGTTAAAGTGAAGCCTAAATATTCTAGTTTATGATATGATATAAAAACTATAAGATAATATTATTGAAATTTCCGGGAAAGGATTGTTAAAGAAGACATTGTCAAATTTATAAATCAAAAATAATACGAAATTTTCAAAAAATAATAACGACTGTAGTTTTAAGAATTATGATGTGATATATATATTAAAATACAGCTTAAAGATTGTATTTTATGATATGATATAAAAATTATATGGTAATATTATTGAAATTTCTAGGAAAAAGGAAATTGACAAATTTATAGATCATAATAAATATGAAATCTTCAAAAAATCATATCGACTGTATTTTTAAGAATCATAATATGATATATATGTTAAATTGAAGCCTAAACATTCTAGTTTATGATATGATATAAAAACTATAAGATAATGTTATTGAAATTTCCGGGAAAAGATTATTAAAGAAGACATTGTCAAATTTATAAATCAAAAGTAATACGAAATTTTCAAAAAATCATAACGACTGTAGTTTTAAGAATTATGATGTGATGTTATATTAAATTACAGCTTAAAGATTTTCAAAACATCATATCAACCGTATTGTTAAGAATCATGATATGATATGTATGTTAAATTGTAGCTTAAAGCTTCTAGTTCATGATATGATATAAAAATTGTATGATAATATTATTAAAATTTCTAGAAAAAAGTTTTTTAAGGAGAAATTGTCAAATTTATAAATAGAAATATAACAAAATTTTCAAAACATCATATCAACCGTATTGTTAAGAATCATGATATGATATGTATGTTAAATTGTAGCTTAAAGTTTCTAGTTCATGATGTGATATAAAAACTATATGGTAATATTATTGAAATTTCTAGGAAAAAGGAAATTGGCAAGTTTATAAATCATAAGAAATATTAAATCTTCAAAAAATTATATCGACTGTATTTTTAAGAATCATAATATGATATATATGTTAAATTGAAGCTTAAATATTTTAGTTTAAGATATGATATAAAAACTATAAGATAATGTCATTGAAATTTCCGGGAAAAAATTATTAAAGAAGACATTGTCAAATTTATAAATCAAAAATAATACGTAATTGTCAAAAAATCATAACGACTGTAGTTTTGAGAATTATGATGTAATATGTATATTAAATTACAGCTTAAAGATTCTAGTTCATGATATCATATAAAAACTATAAAATAATATTATTGAAATTTTCAGGAAAATATCATTAAAGGAGAAATTGGCAAATTTATAAAACAAAATAATACAAAATTTTGAAAAATCATATCAATTGCATTTTTATTATTATTTTTTTTTTCTAAAAGATTCTAGTTGAGTTTAAAAATTATTATCTCAAAAACGAATTTAGATTTTAAAGATAGGGTTGGTTCATGATAAAATGCACATTTTCCTCTATAAATTGCTAATATTTCATCAATCTTTGTCAACTTTGCCAAGTTACATTTCCTTTTAAGACGATTTTAAAGTCTGTGGAATATAGATAGCGTGTCATTTGAGGTGATACACTTTACAACTGTAAAATTGCGCTACAAAGAGACGATTTTGAATAGTTATTTTTTTGTTCTTTCTTGTTGAGAAATCTTCGTAGAAACCCGGACGTTTGGTACACATTTTCTCGTTATCGCGAAACGCAATTACACGGAGACCCCGTAATTGTCAACGTTTGGAGACATAGTAGACGCGAAGTGAATTATATGTACTGCAACTTCGTTATGGGCCCTCATTCCGCCTTAATGTTTCCGTGTCGTGACGCGAAATTATCGGGTTATTATTTATACTATAGTATAGTAGACCGAGAACGGTACGGTTTACAGTTATGATATCATCTTTGTAATCTTTGCAATGTAATCAGTATGTATGTATAAATAGTATTGTAATAAAACAACAAGCTTCAAGTAGGTAGTTTATAAGATATATTTAGAAGTTGGATCATTTTTATATTGCATCAAGAGTTCTCATTTAATTTTTTTAAGGAAGATTTTACAATCTCTTTCGTGATAGCGATCTCGAAGCAACGTGGTCCGCCGTAGGCAGCAAATCTAACGCAACTTTAGCGATAGTAAACGATGTACCGCAGTCGTAATTCTAATTGCTGCAGCTCAGCACTTTGTGTGTCGAAATATCGGAGTTTATGAGGAGTCGAGCCCCGACGTTTCTGCAATCGTTTCGGCATAATTGTTTTGTAATGAGATAGCGGTCGGCGTAAGTGAAGGTGAGCGTGTTATTGCAAATTCTGCAATTTCTGTTGGTAGGCTAAACTTTTACGAAATTTTCATTTTAATCGTAATATCCAAGATTAGTAACCGTGGAACAAAAACAAAATTCGATTTATGAAAATCAATAGTTATCAAATTAGACATGTTGCGATGAAGTTGTAGAAAAAATTTCAAAATCTTTTTCGAAACCTTTTTCAAAATTGATGTAGTCTAACAATAGTTCATTTTAACCGGTTTTTGGTTTTGTTAAAATTGCCCGTTTTGGGCGTAGTGTTGGAAAAAAGATTTTAGTAAAAGAAGAAATATGGCGTTCGTTTGTCCCGAAAAGTGTGAGAGGCGGAAATCGCTCCTTGGACAACTGAAGGACTTGGTGAATAACATCGATGACAAATGTTGTACTCCATGTATACCGTGTCCACCGTGCGTACCACCAGCCCCTCATAATCCCGGTCACGAGGGACCAGTAATTGAAATATACGATCCTTTACCCAAAGCTTGCCTTCCTGTTTGCAGTCCTCCTGGTTGCCCACCACCATGCGGACCGTCTGGAGATTGTCCACCACCTGGTTCGCCGTGCTGCCCACCACCCGGAAAAATGGAACCTGTACCGATGATTTACCCACCTCCTGGACCTCCACCGTGTGTACCCCCTTGTTTACCGATTTGTACTCCGACGCCCCCGCCATGTGTACCAGTTTGCAACCCAAATCCAGAACCACAACCTTGTGTACCATGTAACCCACCGCAAATGATGGTGTGTTATCGATTACCACAGAAAGGCATTGATTTGAAAGGATGCAAATCGAGAGAATTACGAGCCAGTATTTTGTACATGTCTTGTGATTGCATTAAGAGAAATGGATTGCAAGATGATTGCCCCAGATGGGAGTGTCACGGAGCTTGCGAATGCTTAACTTTACCAGATCCGAGTTGTTGTCCCGGGAGATGCGCAATAGTACACCGAGATGGACCATTTGTACATAGGAAGAACGGATTGGAGGAATACCAATGCTATCCTGCATACGTCAAGATGCCTGGTGGTCCTTCACCATGTTCTCCACCGATTGTACCAGCTCCTGGATGTCCACCAGGCGGTCCATGTGTACCTTTAGTTGCGAAACCGCCTTGCCCACCACCAATTTGTCCCTGTCCACCTCCCGCATTACCAATTGGAAATGTTATCCCTATTATGCCTGGTTGTCCCATGCCATGTTGTCCACCGTGTTGTCCTCCTTGTTAAATGTTAATATGTCACGTATGTCTATTGTAAGTAATTGTGGTGAGACTTATTTGCATTGTGAAGGTGTAACAAACGAAGCCATACCAAAAGTATTTAAAAGATCAATGTCATTGTGTTTTATGTATTGTGGTCAATAAAAAAATAAAGAGGTGTAAAAAATTTATAATTTTGTTTGATTTCGTATTAAATTTGTTATAATTTATAATAAATAATTCTAGTTAAATAACCAAAATATTTCAAAGATTGTGTTGATTACTCTGTTTTAATTGATCTTTAATTGTAGCTGCAATTATTTATGTTGACAAGATTTACTTGATTTCATCGCAGGAATTAAAGTGTTAGTAAAACTTAAAATAAAATCATAAAAATTCTGATTGAGTTCAAAAATTGTTATCTCAAAAACGATTTGATATTTTCAAGGAACAGTAGGTTCATGAAAAAATACATATCTTCCTATATATATCGTTAATGTTTCATTAAGATGTCTTAAGAATTCGATTTTTTATAAACCTTAGGCAAAAATTGTGGTATTCGCAAAATGACAAAAATCTTGGTTGTGTTCAATAATTATTATCTCAAAAACGCATTGAGATTTTCAACTCCGGTTTTGTTCATGAAAAAGTACACATCTTCATCTATAACTCGCTAACATTTCATCAAGATATCTTAAGAATTCGATTTTTCATGATTTTTTTAAAAACGTTGAAAAAAATTGTATTTTCGCAAAATGACAAAAATCCTGGTTGTGTTAAATAATTATTATCTCAAAACCGAATTGAAATTTTCAACTCCGGTTTTGTTCATGAAAAAGTACACATCTTCCTCTATACCTCGCTATCATTTCATCAAGATATCTTAAGAATTCGATTTTTCATGATTTTTTTAAGAACGTTTCGTAAAATCACAAAAATTTTAGTGGAGTTCAAAACTTATTATCTCAAAAACGAATAGGGATATTCAAGTACGGTTTTGTTTATGAGAAAGTACATATCTTCCTCTATAAATTGTTAATATTTCATGAAGATATCTTAAGAATTCGAATTTTTATAAACCTTAGGTAAGAATTGTGTTATTCGCAAAATGATAAAAATCCTGGTTGTGTTCCACAATTATTATCTCAAAAACGAATTGAGATTTTCAACTCCGGTTTTGTTCATGAAAAAGTACACATCTTCCTCTATAACTCGCTAACATTTCATCAAGATATCTTAAGAATTCGATTTTTCATGATTTTTTTAAGAACGTTGAAAAAAAATTGTGGTTTTCGTAAAATCACAAAAATTCTGGTTGTGTTAATTAATTATTATCTCAAAAACGAATTGAGATATTCAACTCCGGTTTTCTTTATGAGAAAGTACACATCTTCCTCTATAAATTGTTAATATTTCATCAAGATATCTTAAGAATTCGATTTTTCATGATTTTTTTAAGAACGTTGAAAAAAAATTGTGGTATTCGTAAAATGACAAAAATCCTGGTTGAGTTAAATAAACTTATTATCTCAAAAACGAATAGAGATATTCAAGTACGGTTTTCTTTATGAGAAAGTACACATCTTCCTCTATGAATTGTTAACATTTTATCAAGATATCTTAAGAATTCGATTTTTCACCATTTTTTAAAAACGACACCAAAAAGTTAACTTTGTAAAATCATAAAAATTCAGCTTGTGTCCAAAAATTGTTATCTCAAAAACGAATTGATATTTTCAAGGAAGAGTAGGTTCATGAAAAAATACATATCTTCCTATATATATCGTTAATATTTCATTAAGATGTCTTAAGAATTCAATTTTTTTTAAATATAGGCAAAAATTGTGGTTTTCGCAAAATGACAAAAATTCTGGTTGTGTTAATTAATTATTATCTCAAAAATGAATTGAGATTTTCAACTCCGGTTTTGTTCATGAAAAAGTACACATCTTCCTCTATACCTCGCTAACATTTCATCAAAATATCTTAAGAATTCGATTTTTCATGATTTTTTTAAGAACGTTGAAAAAAAATTGTATTTTCGTAAAATCACAAAAATTTTAGTAGAGTACGAAACTTATTATCTCAAAAACGAATAGAGATATTCAAGTACGGTTTTCTTTATGAGAAAGTACACATCTTCCTCTATGAATTGTTAACATTTTATCAAGACATCTTAAGAATTCGATTTTTCACCATTTTTTAAAAACGACACCAAAAAGTTAACTTTGTAAAATCATAAAAATTCAGCTTGTGTCCAAAAATTGTTATCTCAAAAACGAATTGATATTTTCAAGGAAGAGTAGGTTCATGAAAAAATACATATCTTCCTATATATATCGTTAATATTTCATTAAGATGTCTTAAGAATTCAATTTTTTTTAAATATAGGCAAAAATTGTGGTTTTCGCAAAATGACAAAAATTCTGGTTGTGTTAATTAATTATTATCTCAAAAATGAATTGAGATTTTCAACTCCGGTTTTGTTCTTGAAAAAGTACACATCTTCCTCTATACCTCGCTAACATTTCATCAAGATATCTTAAGAATTCGATTTTTCATGATTTTTTTAAGAACGTTGAAAAAAAATTGTATTTTCGTAAAATCACAAAAATTGTAGTGGAGTTCAAAACATATTATCTCAAAAACGAATAGAGATATTCAAGTACGGTTTTCTTTATGAGAAAGTACACATCTTCCTCTATAAATTGTTAATATTTCATCAAGATATCTTAAGAATTCGATTTTTTATAAACCTTAGGCAAAAATTGTGGTATTCGCAAAATGACAAAAATCCTGGTTGTGTTCAATAATTATTATCTCAAAAACGAATTGAGATTTTCAACTCCGGTTTTGTTCATGAAAAAGTACACATCTTCCTCTATAACTCGCTAACATTTCATCAAGATATCTTAAGAATTCGATTTTTCATGATTTTTTTAAGAACGTTAAAAAAAATTGTATTTTCGTAAAATCACAAAAATTTTAGTGGAGTTCAAAACTTATTATCTCAAAAACGAATAGAGATATTCAAGTACGGTTTTCTTTATGCGAAAGTACACATCTTCTTCTATAAATTGTTAATATTTCATCAAGATATCTTCAAAATTCGATTTTCCGCGATTTTTTAAAAACAAGTTGTTAACCTCGTAAAATCATAAAAATTCTGGTCGATTTCAAACATTATTATCTCAAAAACGAATTGAAATTTTTAACAGCGGTTTTGTTCATGAAAAAGTACACATCTTCCTCTATAAATTGTTAACATTTCATCAAGATATCTTAAGAATTCGATTTTTCGCCATTTTTTAAAAACGACACCAAAAAATAACTTCGCAAAATCATAAAAATTCAGGTTGAGTTCAAATATTATCTTAATGAAGTACACGACGACCACTATAACTCGCTAATTCATCAAAATATCTTAAGAATTCGAAAAAATTATCTTCATAATAGTAAAAATTCTAGGTGATGGTTTTTTTTAGATCATTTAATTCATCTAATTTTGATTAAATGATAATCATTCCAATTAATTTATTCTTATTAAAGCATTACATGTTGTTTTATTTTCTTATCCTAACAAAGTAAAATTACATATTTCCCGCCATATACTTATTCATTTCCTGCACATAAATATTTTGCTGGATATATTCCCTAACACTTTCTATCTGCCACTGCCAGTTGTGGTACCAACTCTCAAAACTCTCAACATCCGCAAAAGTTTGCATCTTCTCATTCAACTCATCACTGTACCTTTGAAAGCAATCAATAAAATGTTGATTCTCATAATATTCATGATCGCAATTCCCCGCTTGCGTTTTAAAAACAGTTTCACTTATATTTGGGGTATTATTCACACTTTTTTCATGATAAGATGAAATAGTGTTATTCTGATTCGAACTTGATTCGGTATTTGAATAAGTATCATCATCATAATAATTATTTAAAGATAAATTTTTTGTTTTTCGTTGTTTGGAGGATTTATATCGTTTTTTTGGTGATTTCACAAATGTAATCACCTCCTTAGGGGGTTCTTCATCCAAAACTGGTTCAACATTCAAATCAACCCCAAGAACTTCCGCCCAATTAGGCGCATTAGGTTTTGTGGCATAATCATAACTAAGTTTAAAAATATTTTCAATACTTAATTCTTCAATTTTATTCGAAGCATTTAACATTTGAGATTCATTATAAGCGTCAAAAGACTCGTTCAAGTTTAAAGCTTCTTCAAATTTATTTATGGCTATATTGTTTTCTTCATCAGTAATGTTAACTTCACTTAACATTCCTGCAGTTTTAAAAAGGCTCACATTTTTATTACAAACCTCATCAGGTTCTGGTGGTGAATTAATTTGATTATTTTCGGTTCTTTTCCGTTTTTTTCTTGGATCATTTTCGTTATTAGAGATATTAGAAGGGGTGGTTAATAAGGTTAAAAGTGATTCTAACTCAGGAGTGGCTTCTTCAACTTGATCTGTATTTAATTCTTGTTTTTTATTACTTTTACATTTTTTTGTAACATTCGACGTTTTTAAATCAATAACTGATGATGCCAATTTTCGATTTTCTTCTGCATTATTAACAGCTACCAAACTCTGCTCAAATTCCAACCCCCTACCATCAAAATTAATCAAATCAGACGGTAAATCCCCGTGATTTGGTAACCTAGCAATTAAAAAATTCCCACCAGCTATAGTCCCAAGTAACTTCTTTAAACTGGTTAATTCTTCTTCTGTGGCTATTGTAACACAAATTCCTTTAGCGCCGTATCGCCCTGCTCTCCCCATTCGGTGTAAATAAGTATTTGCTTCATAAGGGACGTCGTAATTAATGGTTAAATCAACATTGGAGGCATCAATTCCTCTTGCTGTTAAATCAGTGGATAATAAAATCCTGCATTGTCCCCTTTTTAAAGCCTCCATTGCAAATAATCTTTGACTCTGCTTTTGATCTGCAGAAATATACAAACTATTCCAACCATGGCGATTTAAATGATTACAAACGCTTGCAGCTCTTGTTTGATAATTTGTAAAAACCAAACATTGAGTGAAAGAAATTTGGGATAATAACCGAATTAATTCTTTGCTTTTTATATCTAATTGATGAACTATGTTTAAATTTGTTTTAACAACATCAACAAATTGTTTTATTCCAAGTAATAAAGGTGATTCTGTGGAGGGTTCCACCAATGTAGGAGAAGACATGCATTGTTCTAAATAATCTTCAGTTTCTTTTGATAAAGTTGCACTTACAGCAATGGTTTGTTTACAAGTTGGTAATTTTGAAGCAATTTCTTCAATATCAGCCCTCCCATTTTGAACAGTGAGCTTATCAACTTCATCCAAAACAAATAATTTCACCTGATTAACATTTAAAACACCAATTTGGATGAGGTGTCGAACTCTTCCAGGTGCCCCAACAGCAATATGACATTTTTGAGCTCTCTTTTTATCCTCCTCAATAGGAAGACCTCCAATAAAACACTCAACAACCAATCCTTTATATTCTGAACCTAAACTTTGAATAACAAGTTGAATTTGAACCGCAATTTCTCTTGTTGGTGCCAATATTAATACTTGAGCACATTTTTTGTTTAATGTTAAAGCTTCTAATGCTATTAAACCAAACACCAAGGTTTTTCCAGTACCAGATTTCGATTTTACAATTAGATCTGCAAAAATTTATTTAGAATCGATTAAATTAAAATGAATTGATTTACCAAATCCACATTTTCCTATGGGAATTGCTTTTAGTTGTATCGGAGATGGTGTGTGATAACCGTGCTTTTCTAATCCAGATAATGTCGCTTCGGATAAAAGTAATGCTTTAAAATTTAACTTTTCCTCGATTATTACATCTTTCGTTCGTTCTTTTTCCTCTAAATTGTGTGCTTTCGACATGATTTCGACTTTTAATTTTTTAACGGACACAAATTCATAACAACATAACCTAGGAATTTTATTTGACAGTTTTCTTTTTAATCACGTTGGTAAACCTGTTTATTAATTTTAATTTAAAAATATTTATTTATTAAATTATAACAATATTTTAATTACATATCGTTTTAAATTAAAGTTGATTGTTCAAATAATATATAAATATTAGTTGAATCGGCTTTTCTAATCCAGATAATGTCGCTACGCAGCGTTGCCAACCAAATGTCGATAGAATCAATGTAAAAAATCGGTAAGTTCAAATACAAAGTTAGAAAGTGTTGTTTGGTAAAAGTTTATAAATGAATTTATATATAGCTATCCCATATCTTCCGCATCTGAAGACCCTTACAAAGTTACCTTGTTGAATGTTTGAAAATATGAAAATTTGATGAATTTGTTGCGCTTTCAAGTTATTAAAGGTAACACTTGGGAATCGGAGCGTGCTATATGAAAACTTTTATAACAAAAATTGTTGCAAATTTTATTGTTAACAATATTGCTCTCTTGCACTTTTGTTCTTAGATACGTCAATATCGAGATAGATACGAAAATATGAAAATTTTATGAATTTGTTGCTCTTTCAAGATATTAAAGGTAACACTTGAGATTCGGAGCATGCTATAAGAAAACTTTTATAACAAAAATTGTGCAAATTGTATTGTTAACAATATTGCTCTCTTGCACTTTTGCTATTAGATGCGTCAATATCGAGGTAGATGCGAAAATATGAAAATTTGTTGCTCTTTCAAGTTATTAAAGGTAACACTTGGGAATCGGAGCTTGCTATATGAAAACTTTTATAACAAAAATTGTTGCAAATTTTATTGTTAACATTATTGCTCTCTTGCACTTTTACTCTTAGATAGGTCAATATTGAGATAGATACGAAAATATGAAAATTTTATGAATTTGTTGCACTTTCACGTTATTAAAGGTAACATTTGGGAATCGGAGCATGCTATAAGAAAACTTTTATAACAAAAATTGTTGCAAATTTTATTGTTAACAATATTGCTCTCTTGCACTTTTGCTATTAGATGCGCCAATATCGAGGTAAATACGAAAATTTGATGAATTTGTTGCTCTTTCAAGTTATTAAAGGTAACACTTGGGAATCGGAGCTTGCTATAATAAAACTTTTATAATAAAAATTGTTACAAATTTTATTGTTAACAATATTGCTTTCTTGCACTTTTGCTTTTAGATACGTCAATATCGAGATATATACGAAAACATGAAAATTTGATGAATCTGTAGCTTTTTTAATTTATTAAATTGAATCGCAGCGAGTTACAAAGAAACTTTTACAATAAAAGTTGTAGCAAATTTCTTTGTTAACAATTATGCTCTCTTGCACTTTTGGTATTAGATGCGTCAATATCGAGGTTGGTGCGAAAATATGAAAATTTGTTGCTCTTTCAAGATATTAAAGGTAACACTTGGGAATGGGAGCATGCTATAAGAATACTTTTATAACAAACATTGTTGCAAATTTTATTGTTAACAATATTGCTATCTTGCACTTTTGCTTTTAGATGCGTCAATATCGAGATACATGCGAAAATATGAAAATTTATTCTTGTTGCTCTTTCAAGTTATTAAAGGTAATATTTGGGAATCGGAGCATGCTATAAGAAAACTTTTATAACAAAAATTGTTGCAAATTTTATTGTTAACAATATTGCTCTCTTCCATTTTTGCTCTTAGATGCGTCAATATCGAGATAGATACGAAAATATGGAAATTTTATGAATTTGTTGCTCTTTCAAGTTATTAAAGCTAACACTTTGGAATCGGAGCGTGCTATAAGAAAACTTTTATAACAAAAATTGTTGCAAATTTTATTGTTAACAATATTGCTCTGTTGCACTTTTGGTATTAGATGCGTCAATATCGAGGTAGATGCGAAAATATGAAAATTTGTTGCTCTTTCTAGTTATTAAAGGTAACACTTGGAAATCGCAGCATGCTATAAGAAAACTTTTATAACAAAAATTGTTGCAAATTTTATTGTTAACAATATTGCTCTCCTACACTTTTGCTATTAGATGCGTCAATATCGAGGTAGATGCGAAAATATGAAAATTTGATGAATTTGTTGCTCTCTCAAGTTATTTAAGGTAACACTTGGGAATCGGAGCATGCTACAAGAAAACTTTTATAACAAAAATTGTTACAAATTTTATTGTTAACAATATTGCTCTCTAGCATTTTTGGTATTAGATGCGTCAATATCAAGGTAGATACGAAAATATGAAAATTTGATGAATTTGTTGCTCTTTCAAGATATTAAAGGTACCACTTGGGAATCGGAGCTTGCTATAATAAAACTTTTATAATAAAAATTGTTACAAATTTTATTGTTAACAATATTGCTTTCTTGCACTTTTGCTTTTAAATAATCTGTAGCTTTTTTAATTTATTAAAGCTAATACTCGGGAATCGCAGCGTGTTACAAAGAAACTTTTACAATAACAATTGTAGCAAATTTCATTGTTAACAATATTGCTCTCTTGCACATTTGCTCTTAGATACGTCAATATCTATTTTGGCAATATTATATTTTGAACCGTTTTCAAATTAGGCAGGGTGTTTACTTATGACGCGTACTGTATATAACAACGATCTGGAAACGTTGCTCGAGCGACATTGCCATATCGTTGGTATATACTTTTATGCAATATAAGTAGGGTATTCCCATGAGGTACAATTTTTGATTTTACGTACGATGTGTTTCATAATACTTTGTTAAAATTTTGAAAATCGGTAGATTATCTTCTATATCGATAAATCTACTGATAAATCGGTAGGGTTGGCAACGCTGTCGCTACGGATAAAAGCAATGCTTTAAAATTTAACTTTTCCTCGATTATTACATTTTTAGTTCGTTCTTTTTCCTCTAAATTGTGTGCTTTCGACTTTTAATTTTTTAACGGGCACAAATTCATAACAACATAACCTAGGAATTTTATTTGACAGATTCTTTTTAATCACGTTGGTAAACCTGTTTATTAATTTTAATTTAAAAATATTTATTTATTAGATTATAACAAAATTTTAATTATATATCGTTTTAAATTAAAGCCAAAGAAGACATGGATTGTTCCAAATAATTTTCACTATCTTTAGTTAATGATGCAATTATTTTTTGTTTATATATTGGTAGTTTTAACGAAATGTCATCAACATTTTGATCAATTTCATCCAAAACTAATAATTTAACTTGATTGACGTTTAAGACACCAATTTCAATTAGATTTCGTACTATTTTTGGTGTTGCAATCGCTATATGACATTTTTGAGCTCTGGTTTTATCCTCTTCAATTGAAAGCTCTCCAATAAAACATTTCACAGCTAAATCTTTATGTTCACAGCTTAAATTTCCAATAACATGTTGAATATGAATAACTAATTCTTTCGTTTGAGCTAATATTAACACTTGAGTACACCTTTTATTTATAATTAAAACTTCCAATGCAATTAAACCATAAACTAAGATTTTTCCAAAAGATGATTTAGATTTTATAATAGACTCTGTAAGATAAAATAAAACTTTGTAATCATTTTTTATGTAATTTTTGATACTTACCATGTTTATATTTTCTTATTAGAGCATCTTTTTCTGTAAAATTGTATGATATGGACATGTTTATGGGAAAATTTTGACGTTTTGATTAAATTAGATTTTCTCACTATTTCGAATGGGATTTCCCCGCTCTAAAGAGAGGAAGCAGAAATGGTGTGATATTCAAAATAACGTAATACTTGTACTTTCACTAATTAAGTCTTGCTTACTAATGAACAATTGAGAGTTAGAACACTTTGTTTCTAGGTAACCATTGCTTGAAAAGATAAGGCGTTAAAAGCAAGATTATGATGAAAAATTTAAGGTACTATTATAAATTTAAACTTATTAATTAAAAATAGTAAATATTCAAATATTGATCTTTATTTTTTTGTAATTAAATTACCAGTTTTTACTTAAATAAACAACTTAAATTTTCTATTAATAGCAAATAGTTGCAAATTTGATAAAAAAAGATTTAAAAAAAAAACATAAAAAACCTATCGAATTCTAGCTACTTAATATCTTACTAAATTAAGTCATTAATATTAAAAACGAATTGATTTATGCGGTTGCACTCATACTTTTAAACATATCCCCTGATAATAAACTATCTAACGCTTTTTGAACTGAAGGATCATTTAATAAAGGTGTCGGCCCAGACGTTGTTGTTGTTGTCGTCGATGTTATCAAGCTCGGTTTTGGAGAATCCGTATTTGGTTTATTTAAAATATTCATAATCCTGTTTTGTAACTCCGCCTCTTTACTATTCGCTTCAACTTCCGGTTGATTAGTCGACTCGACGCCTTCAAAAGTTCTTTGCAACTCTCGACGTTCGTTTAAATACTTTATAATTCGATCGTATTGTAGACAGGTTATTTGTCTATTTTCAGCTAATAAATTAAAAATCATCTAAAAAGAAAATAATAATTGAAAAATAAATTTATGACAAGTAATGTTTTGTATTACTTGAACAGCTTCGGGATGTTTTTCTGTTAAACTCACAGCTGGGCCATCAGTTTCAAACTTTTCTCCTCGCATGTAAGCATCGAAATTTCTCGTTATTAAAATCATTGCGTCTTCGATTGGCATATTACGATGCTCTAAAATTAATAAAAATGAATGAAGACATTCTAAAATGATGACAATAATATTATAGAAGTTAGAGATTTGTCTAATAGCAATAATGATAATATGGTATTAGAGATTCTGTCAAATCCTGCTTTAAGCAGCGCTTTTAAAAACGGTTATGATGTGGACATTGTTACAGTGGTTGCTAAAAGCGAAGAAAAACCTTGTACTATGTCAGAAATAAGGCCAAAATCTGTAAAATCTAAAAAGTAAAGGTACTTTGAATAATTACATTGATAAAGCTATTGTTTTTCAAAACGGATATCTTTATTGAAAAGTAAAGATCTTTCTTAATACTTCTACGAAATTTCAATTTAATTTTCCAAGAAATCGATTTTTCCCAAAGTTTTAAATTTTATCGAAAAAAGCCGAAAATCTCAAGAATTGTTGCCAACTTCAAATATTCATAGTTCCGAAACTAGCTGTTATTTTTGAAAACGGATTGCTTTATTGAAAAGTAGACATCTTTTTTAACACTTCTACGAAATTTCAATTTAATATTCCATAAAATCGGTTTTTCCCAACGTTTTAAATTTTATCGAAAAAAGCCGAAAATCTCAAGAATTGCTGTCCACTTTAAACATTCATATTTCCGAAATTAACTGTTATTTTTTAAAACGGATATCTTTATTGAAAAGTAGACATGTTTCTTAACACTCCTACGAATTTTCAATTTAATTTTCCATAAAATCGGTTTTTCCCAACGTTTTAAATTTTATCGAAAAAACCGGAAAATCTCAAGAATTGCTGTCAACTTCAAACATTCATATCTCCGAAACTAGCTGTTATTTTTCAAAACGGATATCTTTATGTAAAAGTAGACATCTTTCTTAACATTTCTACTAAATTTCAATTTAATTTTCCATGAAATCGGTTTTTCCCAACTTTTAAATTTTATCGAAAAAAGCCGAAAATCTCAAGAATTGCTGTCAACTTCAAACATTCATATCTCCGAAACTAGCTGTTATTTTTCAAAACGGATATCTTTATTGAAAAGTAGACATCTTTCTTAACATTTCTACTAAATTTCAATTTAATTTTCCAGGAAATCGATTTTTCCCAACATTTTAAATTTTATCGAAAAAAGGCGACAATCTCAAGAATTGTTGTCAACTTCAAACATTCATATTTCCGAAACAAGCTGTTATTTTTCAAAACGTATATCTTTATTGAAAACTAGACATCTTTCTTAACACTTCTACTAATTTTCAATTTAATTTTCCAAGAAATCGATTTTTTCCAAAGTTTTAAAGTTTATCGAAAAATACTGAAAATTTCAAGAATTGTTGCCAACTTCAAACATTCATATTTCCGAAACTACACAGGAAAAAATATAGAGTAAAAATCAACTCTAAAACATGGTTCAGATCGGTCCAATTTATTTAGAGTTATTTTTTTGCACTATATAGTGTAGGTGAATAGATTAAAAATTTACACTAAATAGTGAGAAGATGGTGTTTATTAAATAGTGTAAAATCGTTACTCTATAACAGTGTATTATATGTAATCTAACTAGATGTTGTCGTGACTCTAATTAGATACATTTCTAATCTAATCAGTGTAAATTATTAAAAATTCGCTCTAATTTTACTCTATTAATTGACAAAATATCACTAAATAGTGTGTATCTTACACTTATTAGTGTTAATTTTTAATAGGAAGTGGAGTATTTTTAGGGAAGTTTTACGTTTGTAATAAAAATCAAAATTATAAAATATTTGTTTTTATTTTTACTTGTAATATATTGTTATAACTTAAATTTAAAAAAATTAAATTCTGTTTATATACATATATAACATATATAATACTTAATTCATTTTAAAGTTTCCACCGAGTCACCATCAAAACTGCATCTAATGAGTCTTCTATAAGTTTCCTATATGTATAGTTGCACCAAGTTGCACATACTTACCAATCTTCACAAGGAACTTGTATGTAAAATCTTCCGGAAGTTCCACTAATTTCACATCATGAATGTTTTATTTTGGCAAACATAATTAAAATAAAAATAATCGTTCTTTCTTTCTATATCGCGTAAATCAGGTCTCGAGACGCTATCGAGTTCCGACTCGTTTAGTAGATGACCGTTAAATTTTAGCTGTATCACACCACATGTTGATCACGTGGTACCGACGAGTAATCCCGAGCAAAATAGTGCGGTGCCTACGAAGTACCCGAAGGAAAAGTACACGTCTAGTGTAAAATTTAATGTTTTATATATTACATAACTTCACTAACATAAGTAAAAAAGAACTCTCCTTTAGAGAACTGTAAAAACTACTCTATTAAGTGAATAATATATGAACTCTATATTAATATTAAATATAGTGTACATTAGAGTTATTTTTACCATGTGATATTACAATTTTTACTCTAATTCTTTTTACCAACTACTCTAAAATTTTTACACGGCACGATTTTTTCCTGTGTAGCTGTTATTTTTCAAAACGGATATCTTTATTGGAAACTATATATCTTTCTTAACACTTCTACGAATTTTTAACTTAATTTTCCATGAAATCGGTTTTTCTCAACATTTTAAATTTTATCGAAAAAGCCGAAAATCTCAAGAATTGTAAACTTCAAACATTCATATTTCCGAAACTAGCTGTTATTTTTCAAAACAGATATCTTTATTGAAAAGTAGACAAGTTTCTTAACACTTCTACGAATTTTGAACTTAATTTTCCAAGAAATCGATTTTTCCCAACGTTTTAAAGTTTATTGAAAAATACTGAAAATCTCAAGAATTGTTGCCAACTTCAAACATTCATATTTCCAAAATTAGCTGTTATTTATTAAGACAGATATCTTCATTAAAAAGTAGACATCTTTTTTAACACTTCAACGAAATTTCAATTTTATTTTCCAAGAAATCGATTTTTCCCAACGTTTTAAAGTTTATCGAAAATTACTGAAAATCTCAAGAATTGTTGCCAACTTCAAACAATCATATTTCCGAAACTACCTGTTATTTTTCAAAGCGGATAACTTTATTGAAAAGTAGACATGTTTCTTAACACTTCTACGAATTTTGAACTTAATTTTCCATGAAATCGGTTTTTCGCAAGGTTTTAAATTTTATCGAAAAAAGCCGAAAAAGAAGAAAATGCCATTACGCAGACCATTGCTGAGTTCTTTTTTACATGCAATGTACCGTTCAAAGCAATTGAGTATAAATACTTTGTTAACATGATTAGAACTCTAAGGCCTGCATACGGAAAGCTGATTCCTAATAGGAAGAGCAACACGCCTTCTTAATGATATTCACAATAAAATAATTTCATCTAGTCATTTTGAAAGTAAAACTGTTGTTTTAATTGATGGATAAAAGAACAGTTCAAGTAATACTAAAATCGTGACTGCAGTTTGAGTACAGTCTATAAGGACTTTAAGCAGATTTTACCCCTTTGAGGGGTGGGGTACTACTAAAAAAATGTCGCTAAAGAAAATATGGTATAGTGGTAAACAATCACCAAGTTTTATTCTCCTTCCTTTACAATACATTGCAAAAAAAGTAAAATCCCAAATCAAAGGTGATTGACTGTAGGTCCGCGAGGAAGCCTCAGTCGGCTTTCGTTTATGTGGATAACTCACCTTAATTTTCGCCAAGAAATCACCCCTTAAAGTCTTGAGAGGTTATTCAGGGCACCTGTATATTTTTCAATTAAAGCACTTCTTTGGTGATTATATAAGAAACAGTTGTAGGCCCACCTGAGAAACATCTCAGAAATTATGTAAACTAATTTCAAAAGCCATTGATTTAGCCAAGGATATGTATAAGACAAAGGTTTATGCTGTGGTGTCAGATAATGTAAGTGCCATGGTAAAAATGGGTATGGATATGAAGCATTCTGCGTGGTATAGCCACACCGCCAATTTATTTGCAAAGGATATATTTGACGTAAATTGCTGAAATAAAGTTACGATGGTTTTAAAAGAATTCAAAAGATCAGACTTGGAGAATGTTTTGGTTGATTAGTTTTAGAATTCAACTTCCATGCGAAACGCAATGATGCACTTATAGGGACAATATATATATATAGGACAATTTCAAGTGCTTTTTAAAAACCTTCAACACATAAGAGTAGCTGCTACTGATGCCATAAGCAGTAAAACATTAAACAAAGCATTCTATCTATTATCTTTGATGATGAGTTTGTAGAGGAAGTACGTGAAAACATTTTATTTTACGAACCCATCTGTGAACTAATCAATAACTGTCAATCGCACAGTTGCAAAGTTATTCACAAATTTTAAAACAACAAAACATATTATTATCCCTATAAATGAGATCGACTACCAGACATAATTGACATTATCATTCAAAAGAACTTCAACAAACCAACACATACTCAATGAATTAAGCTCAGATCACGTACCAGTAATCATATCATTTCAGAGTTTTACAATAAACCACCACCAACATTGATAACTGGTAAACTAAACTGGAAAACTTTTCGTGAAACTCTAGATTATATGCATAACAACGAACTATCAAGAATTAAAACCATAAAATCCGCACTACGAAGATTCCGAGAACTTCCAGTGATATTAACAAATAACCAAGCTGTAGAATGGTCAAATGGATCTGTTAAATATCTTGGAGTATATCTCGATATCAGACTTCACTGAGGTTTTCACATTAATCAAAAACTTAATGAGGCTAATGTGCGATTAAACCAACTATACCCTCTAATAAACCGAAGATCACAATTCAAAATAGAGTGCTCACTTTTACTCTATAAGTCACTACTAAAATTCACTCTACATTATTCACTTATGTCAGTTGTGTATGGTCAAATATCTCAAAAACTAATCTCCATAAACCACAAACGTTTCAAAATAAAATTCTAAGAATAGCAACAAATGCACCATGGTATATTAGAAACGACCAACTTCATAAGGAACTTAATATTCCAAAAATAATTGATTTTATCAAAAATCCTGAGAGAAAAGTTCATTAAAAATTTAAAAAACCACCCTGTATGTGAAAAATGTAGAACAATAATTGTACCGCGTTATTTTTATCGTTTTTAGAGATTTTCATGCTGTCTGGTAGATAAAGATATCTCAAAAAACCAAAAAGTTCGAACTTTCAACTATTAATTTTGACATATTTGTCAACTTCATAAAAAATCCTTTAAAATGAGTCCAAACTCGACATATTTAACTTTGATATTAATGAAGATACAATCACTTCCGGTTTTAAACGTCAATTTTGACATATTTGTTATCTTCAATAAAAAACCTTTAAAATGAGTCCAAAGATGACGCACTTATCTCAAAAAACAAAAAAGTTTGAATAAAAAACATTAAATCAGAAGTTAGCAACAATCAAGAAAGCAATTTAATTTTGAAATATTAATACCAACCTAAATTTTTGATTTTTTTTTTATTATATTTTTTTATTTAAAAATTAAAGATGTATCAAAATGACATTGACATTTCAAACCGGAAGTTGACCATAACTTCATGTTGTGTTTTTACTCACTTTAAAGGATTTTTAATGAAGATAACAAATATGTCAAAATTGAGGTTGACATTTTACACCGGAAGTTAGTTATCATATAATAGACAAATGAACAACTTCATGGTGTTTTTTCATGATGTATTCTTTATTAAGAAACTTTCAGGTGTTAATGTCAACTTTAATTTTATTATTATATTCATAATCCTTATAAAATAACCTTTAAAATGAGTCCAAACATGACGCACTTATCCCAAAAAAAAAAACAAAAAAGTTTGAATAAAAACCATTAAACCCGAAGTTAGCAACAATGAAGATAGCAATTTAATTTTTAAATATTAATACCAACCTTAATTTTTTATTTTTTTTTATTATATTTTTGTTTTTGTGACAAATATTAAGACATTTTATAAAAATTAAGAATATGTCAAAATGACATTGACATTTCAAACCGGAAGTTGCTTATATCTCGAGTAATATTGGAATTAAACGTATCATGTTTGGACTCATTTTAAAGGATTTTTCACGGCGATTACAAATATGTCAAAATTGACGTTGACATTCTTAACCGGAAGTTGACCATAACTTCATTAATATTGAAGATAAGTATGTCGTGTTTGTATTCATTTTAAAGGATTTTTAATGAAGATTACAAATATGTCAAAATTGAGGTTTACATTTTAAACCTGAAGTTAATTAATAAAAAATCGATAAAATAAATTGATTAATAAAAAACGATTTAAAAAAAAATCGTTGATTTTTAAGAGACATGATGATTCTTGAATTTTTCCCAAGTTTCTTAATATTTATTTTGTTAAAAAAGAGAGTTCTTAAATTTTAACCTGTATACTTGTAACACTTCGTCCTTAATTTCATTTTACAACTTTTTAAACGTCAATTTTATAAATTAGTAACTAATAATCTGATTTCGACTTTGATATGTGATCTTTTTTAACAAAACAAAAATATTAAGAAACTTGTTTGTAAAATGGATAAGCGAGAAATAGAGATATGAGAGATGTTAATCTATTTGTAGAGTCTCTGAAGATGGCTAAGGGCCGAAACTAGTTAGATTTAAATTCTATATAAATTAGAAACCAGTTGAAAAGTACAAAATCAAACTCTACATAATTTTCTTCAAACATTTTTACATGAAACATCATTTTGAGTCTAGTATTTGTGATTAAATTTATAAAACATACAGCCATTAACCCCAAATATTTTGTTTACATCTTTTATCTTGTTGATTTTTCTTGCATTTCTAGTTTTAATATTAATTTTGGAAAACTGTAGTATTCTTGTACATTGTTCATTTGTACATTTGTTCCAATTGGGAACAAAAAAAATAATGTTTTTACTAATACTCAACCATATTAAACATAATAAACCAGAAAAATTTTTTTTTTCTCATTTTCAATTTACCTTGAGGGATTCCATGTAATATATTTAAAGTTAAACTTCGATTTTCTTCATTTTGAGGCATTATTAACATTGCATAAAGACAACCTCGACTACATATATTTGCAAGAACTCTTCCAAGTGGGACATCTTCATTTGGAAATAGAAGATCAACAATTAAACCTAAAGATTTTAATCTTTGTTCAATATATTCAGCATACTCCCTAAAAAAAAATTAATTTATTTAAATTTTAGATTAATTTAAATTTGATTTAATTTAATTACGTTAAAGTTTTAGAAACAACAATAATTTCGCAATCATTTTTTTCCGGTGCATCCATTAAAGGAGGTGGCACAAATCCACTCATTGGCTGTTGATATTTATTAGGTTCTTCAAAATAGGGCATTTCCCCAAAATTCCCGGATTGTTTCCAATCATTATTTCGATTATTCCAATGTTTTCGTTTATTTCCTCTTTTATTATTGTTTTGGTTAACTCCTTTTTCATTCATCACTTCTTTATCTTGAATTTGTAATCCTTTTGGAGGAGGTGGAACCATTTCTTCATTTGGTTTATTTATATTTAGTTCTGGAGGTTTTATAATTGGTTGTTCCATTAATGATGGGGGTTGTTGTTGAAATTGTTGTGGAATATTCCCTTGGTTTTGACCAAAAGGTGGTTGACCTCCAAATTGTCCTGGATGTGATCCAGATTGATGTGGACCAATTTGATGTGGTCCACCTTGATGTGGCCCACCTTGATGTGGCCCACCTTGATGAGGTCCACCTTGATGAGGTCCACCTTGATGTGGTCCACCTTGATGTGGTCCACCTTGATGGGGACCAGCTTGATGTGGTCCACCTTGATGGGGACCACCTAGATGTGGTCCACTTTGATGTTGTTGATTTTGCATACCTTGATTTTGTTGTCCCCCTTTATTTTTTCCCTCATAAACTTGTCTAACAATAATTTTTTTGTGATGAAATAAAGTTCCATGTTCCGCGCTAATCGCAGCTTGAGCTTGAGGTTCGTTTTCGAACTGGATGAAAGCAAAGCCTTTTTGTAGGAGCATACCGAGGACTTTTCCATATTGCCGGAATTTTTGGTCCAAATTGTCGGGGACGACCGTTTCGGAGAGATGCCCCACATAAATTCTCGCCGCCGCCGTATTTGGATCTTTCATAAATTGCTTATCAGTCCTGTACATCTTAAAAATGTTATTATTTTCTTAAAACAGAAATGTCAACAAAATCTGTTTATATTGATAGATTAATGAATGCGGTGGTATTTTCGCGAGTGACTCCATCATGCCGGATTGGAAAGTGAGATAGTTTAACACGAAAATTGAAGTAAGACAAGGAAAGAAATATTTCCCATCCATCTTTCATTTCCTTTAGCCATCTAATACAAACCTAACCTAAAAATTGTTGTCGAAAGTGATAAAAAGTGACAAGCACCAGATAATATCAGTTTGTGATTTTAAATTAAAGCAATAGTTAATAAATGTTTATGTTAGGTACTATATTAATAAAGTTATAAACAATTAAGGTTATTAATTATTATTGATGAATTTTGAAATATTTAAAACTTTCCTTCATAGATGTCCCAAACATCGTCTTTGAGACATCTTTGCAACAACACTGAAATTTAAATTGAAAAATCTGTTTTAACGGTGGGAAGACACAAATCCCACGACACCGAATATAGAAATAGCGCCAATTCGAGGAATCATGCAGAAATCTTAACGTAGGGGACGATTTATTTATTTTTAAATTTGTTTATATTGATCGATTAATGAATGTGGTGATATTTTCGTGAGTGACTCCATCATGGCGGATACGAAAGTGAGATAGTTTAATACGAAAGTTGAAGTAAGACAAGGAAACAAATATTTCCCATCCATCTTTCATTTCCTTTAGTTGTCTAATACAAACCTAACCTAAAAATTGTTTTCGAAACTGATAAAAAGTGACATGCACCAGATAGTATCAGTTTGATATTAAATTAAAGCAATAGTTAATAAATGTTTATGTTAGGTACTATATTAATAAAGTTATAAACAATTAAGGTTATTAATTACTATTGATGTATCTTGAAATATTTAAAACTTTCCTTCATAGATGTCCCAAACATCGTATTTGAGAAATCTTTCCAACAACACTGAAATTTAAATTGAAAAATCTATTTTAACGGTGGGAAGACACAAATCCCACGACACCGAATATAGAAATAGCGCCAATTCGAGGAATCATGCAGAAATCTTAACCGTAGGGGACGATTAATTTATTTTTAAATTTGTTTATATTGATCGATTAATGAATGTGGTGATATTTTCGCGAGTGACTCCATCATGGCGGATACGAAAGTGAGATAGTTTAATACGAAAGTTGAAGTAAGACAAGGAAAGAAATATTTCCTATCCATCTTTCATTTCCTTTAGTTGTCTAATACAAATCTAACCTAAAAATTGTTTTCGAAACTGATAAAAAGTGACAGGCACCAGATAGTATCAGTTTGATATTAAATTAAAGCAATAATTAATAAATGTTTATGTTAGGTACTATATTAATAAAGTTATAAACAATTAAGGTTATTAATTATTATTGACGAATTTTAAAATATTTAAAACTTTCCTTCATAGATGTCCCAAACATCGTCTTTGAGAAATCTTTGCAACAACACTGAAATTAAAATTGAAAAATCTGTTTTATCGGTGAGAAGACACAAATCCTACGACATCGAATGTAGAAATAGCGCCAATTCGAGGAATCATGCAGAAATCTTAACCGTAGGGGACGATTTATTTATTTTTAAATTTGTTTATATTGATCGATTAATGAATGTGGTGATATTTTCGCGAGTGACTCCATCATGGCGGATACGAAAGTGAGATAGTTTAACACGAAAGTTGAAGTAAGACAAGGAAAGAAATATTTCCCATCCATCTTTTATTTCCTTTAGTTGTCTAATACAAATCTAACCTAAAAATTGTTTTCGAAACTGATAAAAAGTGACAGGCACCAGATAGTATCAGTTTGATATTAAATTAAAGCAATAATTAATAAATGTTTATGTTAGGTACTATATTAATAAAGCCATAAACAATTAAGGTTATTAATGATTATTGGTGAATCTTGAAATATTTAAAGTTTTCCTTCGTAGATGCCCCAAACATGGTCTTTGAGAAATCTTTGCAACAACACTGAAATTAAAATTGAAAAATCTGTTTTAACGGTGGGAAGACATAAATCCCACGACATCGAATGTAGAAATAGCGCCATTTCGAGGAATCATGCAGAAATCTTAACTGTAGGGGATGATTTATTTATTAAGGCTCATGCGGTATAAAATACTTAGTATTTTTTCAAAAGTTATTTTATTTCATTACTTTCAGAGCCTCAATGGAACATATTTAAACGGCCGTCGGTTGGATAATTTGGAAACTGCTAAATTAACAGACAAAGATTTGTTAAATTTTGGCTTTTTTATACATCCACTTTGTGATCAAACCATAAACCATTATTGTTACACAGTTATAAGCCATCCAATAACTATGGAAATCAACACTAGTCAACAACTCTTAAACATACTTGAAGGTATAGATGAAGGTGAATCATCTGTTAATCAAAATAATGAAGCCAAATCATCACCATTATATTCAAATAAAGATGAAGTGATTTATATTGATGATGATGATGATTTTGAATTATATTCTCAAAGGGCGTTTAATGATAGAATTAAATCAGAACCAGTTGAGTGTATAGAAATTTCTGATTGTGAAAGTGAAGGAGATGTTTATAATTTAGATGGGTTAAAAGCAATGATGGATAATATTGTTTCTGTTAAGCTTGAGATAGATGAAGATGTTAATGAGAATGTTGCAGAACCTTGTGATCAAAATCAAATAGGAGATTCTAATGAAAAACCGAATGAAATAGAAAATTTAAATGAAAAGAATAAAGATATACAATTAAATGGAAAATTTGTTGATAGATCGTTTATTACACCAATGAAACATCCCAAAATCATCATTACTTCACCCCATATTGAAGTGAATGAGAAAAAAAGAAGGAAAAGTGTTGAAGTTAATCACAAAGGAAAGAAACAAAAAGATGAAGAAGATAAAAATAGGAAAACAAGAAGAAAAAGTATGGATGTTGATAAAGTTATTGAAGTGAATGAGAAAGGAAGAAGGAAAAGTGTTGAACTTAATCACAAAGGGAAGAAACAAAATGATGAAGAAGATAAAAAAAGGAAAATGAGAAGAAAAAGTATGGATGTTGATAAAGTTATTGAAGTGAATGAGAAACTAAGAAGGAAATCTGTTGATGTTAATCACAAAGCAAAAAAACAAAAAGTTGAAAATAAAAATTCTAAAACAAGAAGAGAAAGTATGGATGTTGATAAAGTGAATGATGTGATAAGGTCTCTTATTAATGATGTTAATGAGAAGAATAAAAGAAGGAAAAGTGTTGATGATAATTTGAATAATAAGCATAAAAATGGAAAAATTAAATGTGTAGATATAAATAAATTAAGTAATGGATTACAAGAAGTTGCAAAGGATCCAAATCAAAGTAATGGTAATAAAATAGAAATACATTAAAACCTTGATAAAACGGATCTTGTTAGAATAGACTTTGGATATAACAGATAAAATATTTTTAAATCATACTATTAATATTATCTATTTAATACATCCGCATATTTTAATATAAATGTTATCACTCATAGATAGCATCCCACTTGAATTATTTCCCATGTTGCTCTATTCTATTTGTTGCCATATATTTATTCTTGTTCCAAAGCCTACTTTTTCAAAATCTGCACATATAAGTTTTAAACTTGATTTCGTTCAAGTGTGCTTTATTTTTGGAAAGGAAATTTTTAATTTTTAATAAGAAAAAAGTTATGACGACTTTTCGAAAATGCACTTTTTTGAAAAACACGCTGTATCTCTGAAACCTTAAGAGATATCGATATGCGATTTTCGCCATTAAGATTCTTATAAAAATCGAGCCTCAGACACTGATATCATTTTTCCTCTATCTCATATAGAAAGAGGAGTTTCCTTTTAAAAGTGTCCAATTTGTCCCACCTCCTGTATTTATTCCCCCATTTATGGGTTTAGACCAAAAATTAAAAAAAACACCTGTATGTATAAATATGTATTAAATACATATTGATTATAAAAATTCAAAACATCTATAATAAGCGGGGCACGGAACTTTTGTAACAAAATAATACGATTTTCCCCCTCCACTCGTTTTCAGCGGCGTTCGTTGAGAAAATCTTGATTAAAAGAACAGCATACTATTCAGTGGGAAATTAAAATTTCAAGTTAGAAAAAAATTGTGTTAACAAAAATTGTTCCTGAAACAATTCTAAACAAACTTTGTCAACAATTTTTTTTGATTTAATCAATAATTAAGGAGATAACCTCAAAATAATAATTTTTCCGTTTTTATACATAATTATACTTAGATGCTTAATTAATAGAGATGTAAAAATTTTTTATTAAGATAATTGATTCAAAATCGAAATTGAAACAAATTTTATTTAAAACATTTTTTGATAAAAACAATAATTATTGAGATAATTAATTTTGATAGCATACTATTCAGAGGGAAATTAAAATTTCAAGTTAGCAAAAAATTGTATTAACAAACACTGTTCCTGAAGTAATTCTAAACAAATTTTGTTAACAACATTTTTTGATTAAATCAACAATAAGGATATAACCTCAAAAATATTAATTTTTGTAGCATACTGTTCAGTGGGAAATTAAAATTTCAAGTTAGAAAAAAATTGTGTTAACAAAAATTGTTCCTGAAACAATTCTAAACAAACTTTGTCAACAATTTTTTTTGATTTAATCAATAATTAAGGAGATAACCTCAAAATAATAATTTTTCCGTTTTTATACATAATTATACTTAGATGCTTAATTAATAGAGATGTAAAAATTTTTTATTAAGATAATTGATTCAAAATCGAAATTGAAACAAATTTTATTTAAAACATTTTTTGATAAAAACAATAATTATTGAGATAATTAATTTTGATAGCATACTATTCAGAGGGAAATTAAAATTTCAAGTTAGCAAAAAATTGTATTAACAAACACTGTTCCTGAAGTAATTCTAAACAAATTTTGTTAACAACATTTTTTGATTAAATCAACAATAAGGATATAACCTCAAAAATATTAATTTTTGTAGCATACTGTTCAGTGGGAAATTAAAATTTCAAGTTAGAAAAAAATTGTGTTAACAAAAATTGTTCCTGAAACAATTCTAAACAAACTTTGTCAACAATTTTTTTTGATTTAATCAATAATTAAGGAGATAACCTCAAAATAATAATTTTTCCGTTTTTATACATAATTATACTTAGATGCTTAATTAATAGAGATGTAAAATCTTTTTATTAAGATAATTGATTCAAAATCGAAATTGAAACAAATTTTATTTAAAACATTTTTTGATAAAAACAATAATTATCGAGATAATTAATTTTGATAGCGTACTATTCAGAGGGAAATTAAAATTTCAAGTTAGAAAAAAATCGTGTTAACAAAAATTGTTCCTGAAACAATTCTAAACAAACTTTATCAACAATTTTTTTTGATTTAATCAATAATTAAGGAAATAACCTCAAAATAACAATTTTTCTAATCAATAATTAAGAACATAACCTCAAAAAATTTTTTATATATATATTTTTATATATTTTTTATTGAGAAAATTGTTTTAGAATTTAATTTAGAACAACTTTTGTATGAAATTTTCTGCTGAGAACGAGTGGAGGGGGGAAATCGTATCGTTTTGTTACAAAAGTTCCGTGCCCTAAATAAGATATATAAGCTTGCTTAACTGAGCATAACTGATCAAAATTTGGAGCAATCTTTGGTAAGGCTGCTCTCATCTCATAATACACCTTACACCAGTGTCACACACTTTGCGGGACACTGGTTCATATGATGTGTAAATCAAGGATGGTATTTTTAGTTTAAATTGTTATTCAGCGCTGATGTATATATAACGGACTTTTGTCTATAATGAACACTCCCTTTCCCTCCATATTAATCCGTTATATCAAGGTTTTACTGTACGTATTAATAAATAGGAGTAATAATCTTCTTTTTATAGGTTCCCATAAAAATGGTGAATTCAAAGAACCCAGTGAGATAGTAAGAATTCCCAAAAAAATTTCATTCCGTAATCTTGAAAATCCAACTCCATCAACTTCGAATTTAAATTCATTTAAACCTACAAGAAATTCTACAATAACATCATGGGGTGATGTTCCTAAAGACTCTTACCTTGCATTGTTAAAAGATGGAGCAAGAAATTTTATTTACCCCAAAAATAATAATAATATTAAAACTCCACAAAATAATTTATGCAATAAATCCACGAAAATTTATAACGATTCGATGAAAGAGAACTCGATTCAATTAACAAACTTCAACGAGCGCCCGAAAGATCCTCGATTAAATCAAAGAAATAATTCAACGATTAATGACTTACCAACAATTTCTAAAGGAAATCATCCCGTTATAAGCGAATCAACAAATTATCAACGCCGGAATTTACATTCAATTATTAATAAACCTTCGTTCCACATGGTTTTAGCACTCCTTTGTTGGAATGTAGATTGGTTAGAGGAGTGCAAAATAGTACAAAAACCTCCACCAATTATTAAAAATAACATCGTAAAAATGTGCACGCTTTTCAATACCTACAAAGATTATTGCAACGTTGTTAAACCGTTCATTATGTTGGAGTTATGGGATCATTTATGTAGTGGATACACAATGAATGCAACGAAATTTAGGTAAAAAATTAAGAAGAAAAAATATTTTAATTTTATTTTTTTACTTTTAGGAGTAAAAGATTTGTTACGAATATTAATGATGTAACTAAACACGATCGTTACCAAACTTTACGTTGTATAGGTAAAAATGAAGTGTTATTTTAAGCAATTTGATTCAATTTAATTTTTTAGGATATTTAAACGGTCGTGAACAGAAAGATTTTCCTAAAGAAGGCGATATTATTATGACGCATTTAGGAGTTAAACCTCACAACACCACCAAACAAACCGCCTTAAAATGTTTATTTGCTTATGTAGTTTCATGTAAAAAACGGCATTTAAAATCAACTATTTGTACTAATGAGATTTCATCACAATTCGATATTAATCTTATTATAAAACCATTCCCCGAAGAAATTCTTTTAGCCAAATCCGCAGATGCTATGATTATTACGAATGTAACATCTATTTTGCGGGAATGCAATGCTTTAATGTTATTGGAAAATTCGCAAGTTTTTAAACTACTTCTCAGTCCAATAATGGAAAGTTTTGTTGTTAAACGAAACGAAGAAATTGTTCTTAAAGCAAAGGTTTGATTTATTGTTTAAAAGATTTTATTGTTTTAAATTTGTATTTTTTAGGGATTATCTGAAAAGCAAATGCTCGCTGTACAAGAAGCGTGCACTTTATGTATCGGAAATAGTCCTGGTCTTTACATGATTCAGGGTCCTCCTGGAACTGGAAAGACCACTGTTATCCAGCACATAATTGAAACTTTAGTCCGGCTTAAACCTGACATCAAAATTTTGGTTGTTGCGCCTTCTAATGTTACAGTTGATGGAATTATTAGGAAATTGAGTAAGTTTTAATTTGGGTGTATGTGATGTTTCAAAGTTAAGTAGTACAAGTATGACGAAAATTTTCAACAATTCATTAAGTATCTTCTTATTATGCAACTTAATTTTAAAACACTATACATTATAGTATATTATTATACGAGCATACAGGGTTAAGTATTATCAATTGCGCTCTCTTCGATTAATATTTTCAGACTTCTAACACTTCCGGTTATACCGGAAGTCGACACCTACTTTATTTTTTTTAATGGAACACCCTGTATATTTTTACAACTTTGGATTTATCTGCTTCCAAGGCTTAATAATAACTTTATTTTTTGCAATTTGATTCAGCCGTTCTCGAGTTATTCGAATCTTTTTAGAAAAATCAGCTCCAGCAGACATTTGTTCAAAAAATCAGAGAACACTAGATTTTTGAGATACCAATTTAGGATTCAGAACATGCTTAAGCAACATGCTGGAGTATGTTTTGGTGCCGAGAACGGCTGTTAAATCGTTTGGTCATTTTACTATGGCAGGTTAACTTTGAAGTACCATAACTTCATTTTTTTAAATGACACCCCCCATATTTTATTACTTATTGTTAGTCGTCTTCGGCGTCTCATTTTACGTCTTTTATACTCCATATGTCCTATACCTAACATTAATAGTTTGGGAAATAATTAGGGTTTTTTGAAAAATTCTCTATATATCGATATTAACCTAGTGTGCCATGGAAAACAAATGTTTAATGACTTATTGACAAACGTCAAAGTCTGATTTACGTTGTTTGATGCTTGTGAGTCTGAAACCAATTAAAATGGATTTTGCCCAGAACCCCGAAAACGTCTAATGACTGGTCTCGCTGAGACACCCTGTATAATACTATACAGGGTGCATCAGGTATGAGTAGAAAAAATTTGAGGAGTTATAGGTCCCCTTTTTGTGAATAAAAATTCTTATAACACAATGTCCCATTCTTTGCCATTCTTATGATATGATACGATAAAGTTAAGGGTTTGAATGTTTAAGTACTGCTGTATAAAGAATTATACTAAGCAGGCTTTGCTTATCTATACAGGGTGTCTCACGTAACTGGTTCGTTACAACTTTTTTAGGTTCCAGTATTCGTACAGTTTTGAAATTTTGGTAGTATGGGTTGTTCAGTCGGAACTTTCGATCTAAAATATTTTCAAGATGGCTGCCACNTTAGTCGTCTTCGGTGTCTCATTCTACATCTTTTATATCCCATATGTCCCATACCTAATATTAATAGTTTGGGAAATAATTAGGGTTTTTTGAAAAATGCACACATATCATATGGATCTAATGTCTAATGACCGGTCTCGCTGAGACACCCTGTATATGTATGTGGCAAACTATTGGCAGTATTTTTCTGAAAATTTGCACATAGTGTTTATCCGAGTGATCGTTTCAGCTAAAATATTTTCAGTTTTCTCCAACTTTCGGTTATACCGGAAATGGACCCAATCTTCGTTATTTTATATGGAATGTACGAATTTTTATTGAATTTTCGAGATCTCCGCCAAATTTTAATATAATTTGATATAAGTCATCATATGTCTAGAGTGCACCATTTTTGAATTATTTCAGTTTTTTCGAAAATTTTGGCAGATACAACCCTTCACAATAAAAATAATTTTTCGAAGTTACACTCGAGTCCGGCCAAATATTCTCAGGGTTTGCACAGAGAAGACCCATAGGTTACATAACACTTGAAAAGTTTTTTAAAAAATTATACTGGGTGGTCAGAAATTTGCGCCGAATTTCCCTACCTCGAAAAATCGAAAACTGTATTTTTTAAATGGCAACCCCATTTTTTTCCTTCATCTGCGTATTGTACACTAGAAAATAAGGGAACTTTGTTATTACATACTTATATCTAAAACGTACGGTTTTTGTAAAAAAAAATTTAATTTTCTTGATTATAAGTAAATTTAAAATTATTAGTTGGCTTTAGTTTGAGGGAAGACTTTGTAATTAACATCAAAAAGAACGAGTTTGCTAGATTCGAAGATATATGGGTGAGACCTGCATTTAAAACTTCTTCTCAAAGCCCGATCTCCACAGATTTTGTAACAGCAGAAGAGAAATGAAGGTACTATATTTAACAAAATAAATGAAAAATAAAAAACAAGAATAAAAAATTGATATAACTATAGTAAATGTTCGAGCTGGTTACCCTCAACTTCCAAACATTTATGAATTCTTTTTAAAAACTCGGCATAAGTGACATTCCGAATTTCTTGCGAAGAAAGAGATCGAAATGGATCACGAACTCTTTCTTGGCATTCTTCCTTTGTTGTGATTGGTGTATCTTATACAGGGTGGTCAACCCAACCCAAACAAAACCTCAAACAAAAAAATCTAATGGAGTGATATCGGGCGAACGGGGAGGTCATTTATGGGGTTCGTTGTTAGCTATCCAACGATCCTCAAAACGATTTTGTAAAATGTTATATACAGGATGTCTCACCTAAGTTGCCTCGGTCCATAGCCGAATTATGATTGAGTTTTTCAAAAAATGTTTCAAATAAAAGTTGAATCGAATCATATTGTACATATTTTAAAATTAGTTTCAGTAATCCGCTTCTACCGGAAATGGATATCAACTTCCATTTTAAATGGAACACTCTGTATATTATTGCATTTTTGGATTCTTTGTGAAATTTCAATGGTACTGGAACAATATATCAGTTTTTACATAACTGGATGTAAAATTTATTTTTTTTTCAGTTTTATACAGGTATCATGGTGTCTATCTTCAACGGTTTTGGAGATATTCCCGATTTTTCAGTTTTTACATCCAGTTATGCAAAAAGTGGTATATTGTTCCATTTAAAAAAATTAAGTTATCCATGATTAAAAAGTTGAAAAATTACAGATCCCTACTTAAGAACTCTGTAATATAAATGCATAATTTTCTATTAGCAAATGTGTGCTCTTTGATTGTTAATCCAAGACAGAAAACCAAATCTTTCTAGCTTTCACAGTTTCCAAATTTATAAATTTGGTGTAAATGGTGGTATAAATAGCTGCAAATGTCATTTTTTTCGAAAATCGTCATATAATTCAAAAACGGTACCAGTTACACCTAAGGTATCTTAACAAAGTACCATTGAAATTTCGCAAAGAATCCAAAAATGCAATAATATACAGGATGTTCCATTTTAAATAACAATGTTGATATCCATTTCCGGTAGAAGCGGATTACTGAAACTAATTTTAACATATGTACAATACGATTCGATTCAACTTTTATCTGAAACATTTTTTGAATAACTCAATCATAATTCGGCTATAGACCGAGGCAACTTAGGTGGAACACTCTGTATAAGCGCACTACTATGAGGTGGAGCTCCGCCGTGTTGGTACCACAGCTGATTCCAGTTTAGATTTAGCGGCCGTAGATAATTTTGTAAAATTTCAAGATATGTTTCGACCGAAATAATGAACAAGAATTAGAAACAAAATTTGCCCTACAATTTCCAGTAAGCTTACAAATTCAAATTTTCGTTATAAAAGTGCAGCACTAGCATACCATCATTTTTTATGATAGCTAAAACATTAAAACTCCAGTATCCTTAAAATAGTCTTTCACAAATTATGTGTGAGTTAGTATCACTCCAATAAGGAGAGTTATGAAGGTTAAATACACCATTCTTGTGAAATTTTGTCTCATTCATCCAAATTATTTTTTCAAAAAAATCTTCATCTTATTGAATCAACATAAATTCACAAAAATCAATTCTCTTTTGATCATCACTTGGCCTTAAACTTTGTGCCAATGAGTAAGAATAAGGATGAAAGTTATGTTTTTTTTTTAAATCCTGTGATTGCTTTTCTCAGATATTCCCAAATCTCTTTTAGCATCTAATAACGAATTTTCAGGATACGCTCTGAACTACCCCAAACCTGTAATTTCATTTTCTTCGTTATCAACGACTGGTTTAACCCTTTTGTGCTTTCTAATAAACTGGCCATAGGTTCTACAATTAATACCGACCTACGAACATCCTGTATAATTTCTCAAAAAACTTTTCAAGGGTTATGTAACCTATGGGTCCTCTCTGTGCAAAATTTTCGAAAAAACTGAAATAATTCAAAAATGTCATATCAAATTGGTACATTCCATTTAAAATAAATAAGTTGAGGTCCATTTCCGGTGTAACCGGAAGTTGCAGATAACGCAATATTTTAGCTGACACGAGCACTTCGGGTAAAGCCTGTATGCAAATTTTCACAAAAATAGTGCCAATAGTTTGCATATACATATAGACACAGCTCGTCGTGACAGACCCTGTACATAATAGTATATTATTATACGAGCATATAATGAGGGTTACTCACTTTGTCCACGACTACTATTGAAATTGATTTCATAAATTTATTTTTTTAAATAAATTTTTGAATAAAGTTTAAACGTCAATGTGACACAAATTCAATGTTACCAACTGTAACCAACTTCACAACAANTTTTCAAGATGGCTGCCACTTCCGGTCTACCGGAAGTAGACCATAACTTCGTTATTTTAAATAGAATGCTATAGTTTTTATTGCACATTTTAATTGTTCGTAAAAAAATATGTTGACTTTCATAAAAGTTATTGGTAGCTAGCCTTTTTCGTTTTCGAGTTATTTTGATTTTAAGGTTTTTTTTTGGCAAATTTCACCATGCTCTTTAAAACCCTATATCCCAGCCAAGGTTCATTCAAAAAAGCTCTAAATTGGCACGTTTACTCTTCATATGCTCTCAAATAGATTGTCATATATTGTATCAGAGTATCTTATACAGGTGGTCAAAAATTGTATTACCGTTTCTCCATATTCAATGGGGAGAAAGTCGAAAATTTTAAATGGAACGCCCCATATTTTATTAGCCTATCAGGAAGAGAATTCAATTCTCTATAAATTATCTATAAACATTCCCATACCTATTTATCGTAGTTTGCCTCATATTGCGCAATTTATTAAAACATTCACGAAATGCAGGTTTTTTTATTAGAAAACTATGGAATTTTGACAGTTTTTGGTCCATGTTTGTATTATTGTTGTCATTAGTTACATTTGACGACGTCATTGAACATCATGGTAAATTATTCCAACGCCGATATTTGATTTTAATTATATTTATTATTTACTTTTATCAAAGTCAACCTATTTTTTCACCCACAATTAAACGGTGTAATAAAAACTATATCATTCCATTTAAAATAGCGAAGTTATGGTCTACTTCCGGTAGATCGGAAGTGGCGCCCATCTTGAAAATATTTTAGTTCGAAAGTTCCGAATGAACAACCCATGCTACCAAAAATTCAAATCTCTACGAATAGTGGAACCTGAAAAAGTTCTAACGAACCAGTTAAGTGAGACATCCTGTATAGCTTTAATTTGACACATAAAAGTAATTTTTGAGATATTTTTTTAGAGATTGTTTACTTTATACGAATAAATTTATCACTTCTGTTTTATCACTCTTTAATGTAAAAATTTACAAAAATTTAGGTTTTAATAAACAAACTTGCTTATTGTATTAAAAACAACAAAATTATAAAACTAAAAACAAATTGCAAAGCAAAGCCTACTTACAATTAGTATAATTCATTAACCAGTAGTACTCAAACTTATGAACCTTATGTTATTATTAATAACTTTATCGTATCATATCTTAAGAATGGCAAAGAATGGGACATTGTGTTATAAGAATTTTTTATTCAGAAAGAGGAGACCCTTAAATTTTTTCTACTCATACCTGATACATCCTGTATAATACTAATAGTATACAGTATCCACGACTACTATTGAAATTGATTCCATAAATTTATTTTTTTAAATAAATTTTTGAATAAAGTTTAAACGTCAATGTGACACAAATTCAATGTTACCAACTGTAACCAACTTCACAACAATTTGTCAAAATTAAATGTCAGTTTTATGAAACGTCATGTATTTTTTTACGAAAATTAATTAATTTATGCTTAAATCATACGAAAAAGGAATTTGTTAACGTTTTTTTTAATGTCAATTCTCTAGAAAGTCCTAAAAATTGACGTTTTTGAAATTTCGTATATGCTCGTATAATAATACAGTGCGTTTCAAAAGTAACGAATAAATTCGATAAAAATTATTATAAACAATTTATGAAAAAATCGCTAAAACGGGCCTAAAGATTTAATTTTTTTGCAATTTTTTGATGTATATTTTAAATTTTTTTTTGCCATTTTTAAACGAGTTATGACGTCATCGAAATTTTTTTTTTTAAATGGAAGGCCCCATTTTTTATATCGGAATTTGGAAGAGGATTTTTTTTCTGAATTATGTACAATAAATATTAATATCGGTTACATAAGAAAATTTTCGACAAAATTAATTTAAAGTTTCTTTAAAATGATATAAAAAATAGTAGTAGCCGTGCGTAACCATGGCAACCAATTGTTTTGATTTAAAATTTCCAAGTGTCAAAATTCGATTTGTAACAGTTTATTGTGCGTTAATGAGATTATATTAAACGTTTAATTTTTGACGTTTTTTTTTTTATGCGTTTGATACAACAAGCTATTGCTACGTTTGTATCTCAAGTACAATAGTAATAATAAATAATTCAATTGAAATTGAATTTTGACACTTGGAAATGTCAAATCAAAACAATTGGTTGCCATGGTTACGCATTGCTACTGCTATTTTCTATATCAAGTGAATGAGAAATAATAAAACTTTAAATTAATTTTTCTCGAAAATTTTCTTATGTAACCGATATTAATATTTATTGTACAGGGTGGTTCAAATTCGATGTCCGAATAGGCTAACTGGGAAACTATAAGAGTTAGAAAAAAAGTAGCTTACATGTCATGATCTCGTTTTTCGAGAAATTGCTAATGCCAAAAGCCTCAAAGCGCTATCGTCTTTTGTTTTTCCCCTAGAGGCCAAAATTGAAAATATCGTAAAACCAGCAAATGCAATTATTTTGGTTATTATTATAGGTGGAGTATTATAACTCAGACATTATATGGACACTTTTTAACAGAGAATTTAATGACGTAGTCAAAAAAAAATTTTCGGTTTTAGATTTTGAGATATTATGACAATTTTCGTTTTTTTAAATGGAAACAACCACTGATCATTCACTAATTATAAATGGGATGAAATTCTCCATATTTCTCTAAATATAATAAAATAGGATGTATGTAAAAGTAAAAACTTTTTTGAGAAATATTAAAATGTTTTAATTCTATTCAAGTAGACATGTTTCGAAAACTAATGTTTCATCTTCAGNTTGAATAAAGTTTAAACGTCAATGTGACACAAATTCAATGTTACCAACTGTAACCAACTTCACAACAATTTGTCAAAATTAAATGTCAATTTTATGAAACGTCATGTATTTTTTTTACGAAAATTAGTTAATTTATGCTTAAATCATACGAAAAAGGAATTTGTTAACGTTTTTTTAATGTCAAATCTTTAGACTTACTAAAAAATTAAATTAAATTGACGTTTTTTCAAATTTCGTATATGCTCGTATAACAATACAGTGCGTTTCAAAAGTAACGGATAAATTCGATAAAAATTATTATAAACAATTTATGAAAAAATCGCTGAAACGGGTCTAAAGATTTAATTTTTTTGCAATTTTTTGATGTATATTCTAAATTTTTTCCGCCATTTTTAAACGAGTTATGACGTCATCGAAGTTTTTTTTAAATGGAACACCCCATTTTTTATATCGGAATTTGGAAGAGGATTTTTTTTCTGTATTATGTACAATAAATATTAATATTGGTTACATAAGAAAATTTTCGAGAAAAATTAATTTAAAGTTTCTTTAAAATGATATAAAAAATAGTAGTAGCCGTGCGTAACCATGGCAACCAATTTAAAATTTCCAAGTGTCAAAATTCGATTTGAAATAGTTTATTGTGCGTTAATGAGATTATTTTAAACGTTTAATTTTTGATATCTTATTTTCTGTTTGCGTTTTTTTTTTCTTTTGATGCGTTTGATACAACAAGCTATTGCTACTTTTGTATCTCAAGTACAATAGTAATAATAAGTAATTTAAATAAATAATTCAATTCAAATTGAATTTTGACACTTCGAAATGTCAAATCAAAACAATTGGTTGCCATGGTTACGCACTGCTACTGCTATTTTCTATATCAAGTAAATGAGAAATAATAAAACTTTAAATTAATTTTTCTCGAAAATTTTCTTATGTAACCGATATTAATATTTATTGTATGAACCACCCTGTTCAAATTCGATGTCCGAATAGGCTAACTGGGAAACTATAAGAGTTAGAAAAAAAGTAGCTTACATGTCATGATCTCGTTTTTCGAGAAACTGCTAATGCCAAAAACCTCAAAGCGCTATCGTCTTTTGTATTTCCCCTAGAGGCCAAAATTGAAAATATCGTAAAACCAGCAAGTGCAATTATCTTGGTTATTATTATAGGTGGAGTATTATAACTAATAGATTATATGGACACTTTTTTACAGAGAATTTAATGACGTAGTCAAAAAAAAAATTTCTGTTTTAGATTTTGAGATATTATGACAATTTTCGTTTTTTTAAATGGAAACAACCACTGATCATTCGCTAATTATAAATGGGATGAAATTCTCCATATTTCTCTAAATATAATAAAATAGGATGTATGTAAAAGTAAAAACTTTTTTGAGAAATATTAAAATGTTTTAATTCTATTCAAGTAGACATGTTTCGAAAACTAATGTTTCATCTTCAGTACCTAAATTTACGAAAAAAAAAAAACAAATTAAACGAAGGTTAACCGGAACGTATTAATAACGGTAGAGTGAAAATCGGACATTTGAAAAGGTGAACTTACATAGAAAAATTATACAATATAATGGAATTAGTTAATAGGTGGGGTTCAGGAGTAGATCTAATTTCTTATAACTAAATTTACAATTAAATTTAAATTAGATTAACAAAATCACAGATTAAAAACTTCAACAAAAAAGGATAAAATCTTGGAAGGTATCGTAAGATAAGGGTGTGGCGTAAAAAACGTTATTATAATATAGCACGTACGGAATACAAAAAGAAAAATAAAAATTTTTGATTAATTAGTTAAATTTGTGGTATAAGCGAGAATATTTGTTTTCTATTATTTCATTTAATAAATTATCTGTGTTATTTTTAGATTGTTTGTATATTTCGTATTCTTCCAGTAAGTCCAGCTTCAAAGATTTAGGTTGGTTATGAATAAGTTCCATATTATTAAGACTTATTTTATGTTTAGTTTCTGTAATATGTTTGAATATAGCGGAATTTTTATCTTTATTATGTTCTTTAAAACGTGTTAATAAGTTTCTCCCTGTTTGACCTATATAAATTTTATTACATTCACTACAGGAAATTTTGTAAACTCCGTTAAGTAAGTGAAAGTGGAATTTATGTTTATTATTAACGAGCATATTGGAGATTTTAGTGTTGTTTTTAGTGGCTATGTGTATGTTATGTGTTTTAGTTATGTGGTGTAGTTGATTGATTGTGGGGTTGTAATGTGAAATAGAAATATATTTAGGTGGGAGTTTATAATGAGGATAAATGAATGAGATAACTTTATTGTTATGAACTTTGTAAAAAATGTTTTGCATGTCTTTAATGTTATAACCGTTGTTTAAGCCTATTTTTATAATATTGTAAATTTCTGAATTGAAATTTTCGGTGTTGAGGGGTGTGTTGATGGCTCTGTGGAATAAGAACCTAAACGCGGCTTCTTTATATTTGAAACTAGTGAAAGAATTTTTGGGGATAATTGTGTCTGTAGTAGTTGGTTTACGGAAAATGTTGAAATTAAGGGAAGAGTTAGACATGTTTTTGGAAATTGTTAAATCAAGAAAATTGATGCTATTGTTAACTTCTTTCTCAATTGTGAAATCAAGGTTGCTGATATTGTTTATTAAATTGAATAGGGCTATTAAATTAGCATCTGAACCATCATATAGAATGAGGATATCATCTACATATTTACAATAGAATTTAATATATTTAGTTGCAAAATGATTATTTAAAGAAAATAGTTGAGATTCTAGGTTGGACACATAAAAATCTGCAAGAAGGCCAAATAGGGGGGAACCCATGGGTAATCCTTCAGCCATTTCGTAAAAATGGTCATTAAAAATGAAAAATATTTTAATATTTATAAAAAGATTTTAATATTTCTCAAAAAAGTTTTTACTTTTACATACATCCTATTTTATTCGCTAATTAATTTGGTTATTTTTTCTGATTATAAAAATATAATAATTTCTTATTGTTTTAGAATAAAGCTAAAAATAAACTTTTTTTTAGTGTCCTCAAAGAAATTAAATTTACAGTTTCCTGTAAATTACGTTACTATAACTAAACATTATTGTACTAAAAATTTATATAAAATTTACTTTATTTTCTAGTATGTAACATACTAACATGTTAAACTTTTCGTAATTTTCGTAATCCATCCTAAAAAAACAGGATTTTTAATTTGACACTTCAGAAAATTTTTAATATATGAGCGCCATCTATCAATAATTTATTAAGTCATTTAATAGTAATATTAAATATTAATAAAAAAATGTGAAATAATGCAATCTATTCCAACTTTTGTGTAAAACAAATATAAATTAAATAGTTCAACAAATGTATTTGTTAAGTAATATCAGAAATATGTTTTTTTTTAAATTTTTAGTTATAATTTACAGGAAACTGTAAATTTAATTTCTTTAACGACACTAAAAAAAAGTCTAAAAGAATAAGAAATAGACCTATCTAACCCTAATAAGCGAATAATTAGTGGTTGTTTCCATTTAAAAAAACGAAAATTGCCATGATATCTCAAAATCTAAAACCGAAAAATTTTTTTTGACTACGTCATGAAATTCCCTGTAAAAAAGTGTCCCTATAATGTCTTAGTTATAATACTCCACCTATAATAATAACAAAGATAATTGCACTTCTTGGTTTTACGATATTTTCAGTTTTGGCCTCTAGTTTCCGAGTTAGCCTATTCGGACATCGAATTTGAACCACCTGTACAGGGTGTCCAAATTTCGATGGGTTTGCAGGGTATCTCAGTTATTATGAAAGATAGAAAGTTGCGGTTTTCGCGAACCTGAGCTACTTTTTTGTGAAACTTTCAATGCCGCAAACCAAATTTTCATAGACCTCTTCGTTTTTGATATACAGGTATTTCAAAATTTACGATTTTCAGACTCCCCCCGTATCTCGGCTATCCGGAAACTTAGTAAAAAAGTAAAAACGGGTTCTAATAGATTTTTTTCACGTAGAATCCAATGATGCACGTAGAATTTTTCTAGACATTACAGTTTTTGAGTTATAAACACAACTTAGGTTTTTTTAAATGGAACCTTTGTCCAAATGAATGGTACGATATTATACGGCGATCAAACAAAAAAACACCTTTTGCAGTCACAGTTATGACGCAGGAAGATTTTTTAAACTTTATACCTACTCGTACAAACATAAGAAAATCCTGGATAGATATTGTAATAAAATCCCTGTTTCCGAAGAAACGAAAAAAAAAGACTAATTAAATTTAAGAAATTTACAGTTTTGGATTAGATTATAAGTAGTTAGTTTTGTTATGATTTTCGTTTAGTTTTAAGAAAAATTATTACGATGTGCAAGAAAAAGGTACATAATTCATTGAAGTCTATGACCTTCAAATTTTGACCTTGACATTTACATTTTGACAGGTATTGATTTTGGCGACTTTTTAGACGATTTTCGATTCTAAAACCATGCGAGATCGATAGATCGTGTCGATTTAGCCCTTAGGCCGCAATTTCATCCATTTCTGAATCATTTTATATATCTAAATTCCATTTTTTTCTTTCCAAACTTTAACATCAAATTACGAATTCCTCGAAGGAATTTGACACCCGAAAGCGCGATTATCTAAAAGAACGAAAAATTAGCTACAAAATTACAAAATCTTAATCAAATTTAAAGTTTATTAATAATTTCGAATATTTTCAAAGTTGATAGTTATTTTCTTTAAAAAATCAATCATTTTGGCCAACCTGTGTAATTTATAATTCCCGCCATTTTATCAACCAATCAGAGAGCCCAGATTCAAACTGAGGCGACCAAATTCGGATATCCAAGAAGCCTTTGTCCAAAAAGGGTATATAAGGCCGCGCAAATTTGACACCGGGAGAGTTTAATTTTGGTTAGAGCGAAGCGTTGTCGAA